AAGTGGGGGGGAGTGCCTGGAGTTGAGGACTGAACACCTCCTGGAAGGAAGAGAAGTCAGTGCTTATGCCCACACTTCTTTGATCCAAATGTTTGAATTTTTAAATTTTGCAATGCATGTGCCTTATTCATTCTGCAAATCTTAGTGTGCATGCATGTATGGTACTTATGTTAGTAAGGGTATGCAGGATAAGACTTCTCTGCTACTGCTTATTGTTAATTTGCTTATTGTTAATCATGGCACTGCTATTGTATTACCATGTATTGGCAAAAAAATTAAATGGCTGAGTATCGTTTAAGAATTGTTTGCATTTATAGTGTAAATATTATTGGTTTGGCCCTTTCTCATTTTGAAAACTATTTAAAGTAAATTTTCCCTGTGTTAAAACTACATACGTTGTAAAAAAATCCCTCTCTTAACAATGAAAAATTAGTGAATATTGTGCATTAACAGCAAATTCAAAAAATAACACGAACTCTGAAATGTCATTTCTTGATGCATGATTTTTATTAGACTCCAGAAAAACCTCCCAGTCTTGAATCAAAGACATAGCTACTCCCATTCTAATGATGTAACACAGAAAAATCCAATTTAACACATACTCCATTGAGTTATATAAAGGGGGAAAAGAGGGAAACATATGAGCAGTGAAGAAACAATGGTAACATGAAAACTGTACCCTGGATCCAGACATATTTGTTAGAATAATCTTCTTGAGGGACCCCGAATTCTAAAAACATTTCTGAATAGTTATTTTTCTGCCATTTTATCCATCATGCAGCACTTTAAATACAAAATGGTAGCTTAATGTACTTCAAAAGTGTGCCACCACTAAACAGCTGGTTTAAAGAATAAAACTTTTTTTATTGGAATCTTTGACTACAGTAGATAAAACTGGGTAAAACAGAATTTTCCTTGAGCCTTTTCCCCTCATGGTCCTAGCTACTGTAAGTAGATCCATGTCAAACCCTTGAATCCATGGCAAAGTACCACTGAGTTCCACAGGACTCCATTCTGGTACAAGGATTCGATTGTGCAGATCCTGTTGCAGGTTCATGGATTATTTTGATTAAAATTAGGATCAAAATGGTTTCAGACAGATTCTTGTATACTAAAACTTCAGTTTTATAGGGAAATATCACATAAGATTCAGAAGTAATGGTGCTAACAGAGTGTAAAAAATCTAGTACAGCTGGCTTGTTTTTGCAATATTGCAAATTATAAACAACTAAATAGCTGAACATAAGAATGGCCATACTGGGTCAGACCAACGGTCCATCTAGCCCAGTATTCTGTCTGCCAACAGTGGCCAGTACCAGATGCCCCAAAGGAAGGGAACATAACAGGTAATCCTCACATGAGCCCTCCTCTGTAACCCATTTCCAGACAAGCACAGGCTAGGGAAACCATTCCTACCCATCCTGGGCTGTGTCCAGACTCAGCGGTTTTTTCAAAAAAAGTAGCCTTTTTTCAAAAAAACTTCACCTGCGTCTAGACTGCAGCCGCGTTCTTTCGAAAGTAAATTGAAAGAACGCGGCTTTTCTTTTGACGGCGGTAAACCTCATTGCACGAGGAAGAATGCCTTTTTTCGAAAGTGCTCTTTCGAAAAAAGGCATTCTTGAAAGCAAACAGGGCTTTTTAGAAAGAGAGCATCCAGACTGCCTGGGTGCTCTCTTTTGAAAAAGCGGCTTGCTTTTTCGAAAGTTCCGCATGTAGTCTAGACGCGCTCTTTCGAAAGAGGCTTTTACGAAAGATACTTTCAAAAAAGCCTCTTTCGAAAGAGGCTTGCAGTCTAGACATAGCCCTGGCTAACAGACATTTATGGACCTAACCTCCACAAATCTAACTCTTTTTTGAACCCTGTTAAAGTCCTAGCCTTCACCACATCCTCTAGCAAGGAGTTCCACAGGTTGACTGCGCTGAGTGAAGAAAAACTTCCTTTGGTTTGTTTTAAACCTGCTGCCTATTAATTTCATTTGGTGACCTGCAGTTCTTATATTGTGGGAATAAGTAAATGACTTTTCCTTATTCACTTTTTCCACCCCATTCATGATTTTATAGACCTCTATCATATCCCCACCTTAGTCTCCTCTTTTCTAAGATGAAAAGTCTCAGTCTTTTTAATCTCTCTTCATATGGGACCTGTTCCAAACCCCTAATCATTTTTGTTGCTCTTTTCTGAACCTTTTCCAATGCCAATATATCTTTTTTGAGATGGTGACCACATCTGTACACTATATTCAACATGTGGGTATACCATGGTTTTATATAGGGGCAATAAGATATTTTCTGTCTTATTCTCTATTCCTTTTTTAATGATACCTAACATTTGGTACCTATTTGCTTTTTTGACTGCAGCTCCACACTAAGTGGATGTTTTTAGAGAACTATCCACAATGACTCCAAGATTTCTCTCGTATGTATAGTTGGGATTATTTTTTCCAATGTCCATTACCTTACATTTATCAACATTACATTTAATTTGCCATTTTGTTGCCCAACCATTTAGTTTGGTGAGATCTTTTTTGAAGCTATTCACAGTCTGCTTTGGTCTTAACTATCTTGAGTATCAATTCACGGAAGGACCTTCCCTCTTATCCCATGACAACTTCCTTTACTTAAGAGCCTTTGGTGAGGAACCTTGTCAAAGACTTTCTGAAAATCTAAGTATACTATACCTACTGGATCCCCCTTGTCCACATGTTTATTGGTTCCCTGTGGCACAATTATGAGACAAGTCCATACTTTACAAGTCAGACGAAGTAATTTCCTGTGAACTCAGTTACATCATTGAACATGGAAAACACTGACTGAATGTAAATTATGGGAAAGCAGCATGATCAGCTGCTGAAATAAGTGATCAACTGCACAAATTGACCTAATTCATGAAGAGGTTGCATATGGCAATTTACTCACTCAGGTCTTTTTCAAAGTTTAGAAATCTGAGGGCTTTTGTCAGAAGTGTGTGACCACAAGATCAAAGCTATTTAAGGATCTGACTTGGTGAAGCTCTCCAACTTCTTCTCTAGCATTGAAGAGGACTCCCATTATTATTTGTCATCTTTACTAATAGTAGTAGATTAATTATTAATGGTCTAGAAAACATGATCTAGGGAAGACTGAAAGAACTGGGCTTGTTTAGTTTAGAAAAGAGAAGTCTGAGAGGACACAATAGTGATTTTGTATGTAAAACGGTGTTACAAGGAGGAGGGAGAAAAATTGTTCTCCTTGTCTTCTGAGGATAGGACAAAGAGCAATGGGCATAAATTGTATCAAGGGAAGTTTAGGCTGGACATTAGGAATAACTTTCTGTGAGGGTGGCTAAACACTGGAATAAATTGCCTAGCGGGGTTGTGGAATCTCCATCACTGAAGATATTTAAGAGCAGATTAGACAGACAACTCTCAGCTATAATCTACACAGTGCTTGGTTCTGCCATGATGGCAGGGGACTGGACTCGATGACTTCTTGGGGTCCCTTGCAGTTCTACAGTTCTAAAGAAATCAAGGAGAGACCTAAAAACTCAGGAGAAAAGATGGTGTCAAAGCAGTTGGGGGTAAATGGTATCATGCTATGGCAATATCTACAAACAACTTCAGGAACTGTGAAATTCTCTGAGATGAGCCTTGCTGACTGTCCTTCAAATTGCTCCTTTATAGGGGAGTGATTTAAAGGAAGTGGATGCTGGGGAAATGTTAGGTAGGGAAATGTCAGCCCATATGTGCTGCTTCTCCCCATAGGCACACTGCTACTGCTGAAGTTATGCTGCCTTCAGCAATCACCTTGATCCTTTGCAAAATGTGAGGATGTCATTTCTAATCTCATTCTTATACCATATCCATCATCATGCTACCTGGGTGCCTTGCCAAAAATACACACACATGATGTATATTACAAATTTAAACTTTCTTTTCCATTGTGAGGGGGAGGGAAAAACAATATAATTTATTACTTTTTCCTTATGTTAACTGTAATCACAGTCCAGTTGCTTTGTAAGAAAGTAAGTTCAAAGAAGTGAGCTTTCCATTTGAGACCTGTAACTGGGCAGGTCTGGGGTCATTCTTTGTTCCTGTGGGCGTAAGTTCCAATGTTCCAGAACAGCTGTGGCTCCTGCCCTTTAGATAAACAAGTTCCAATGTTCTCCTGGAACAAAGCTATTGAGGGCAGTTAAGGTCCCAAGAATGAAGCAGTCCTTTTGAAATCTTAAATCCCTTACTTACTTTAAGTAAGGACCAAGAATAAATGGCATGTTACAGGGGTGATGTAAAAAATGTGGCATAACTCCTCTTGAGCAATATGGACAACCAGAAGCATGTCTTTCCCAAGGCTCATTCTTTCAAGCCCAGGCTTATCGGGATTTAATTTATTTAATGTAAGGGTAACAAAAGTCAGATATTACTGAGGCCGAGTCACCAATGGAAAGGGCAAGGTCCATACAGATTAGATACTTTTTTTTTGTAGTCAGTGTTATCTGAAGCCTAACATCAGTAAGAAATACAGAAATACTCCTGTGCTACATACTACAATTACTTAGGATCAGGCATTCTTAATAGGAAGAAATGAACAGTTATGAGAAGCACTTTAAAATGTTTCCCTGTGCCTACCACCAGAGACTCTACTTTGTTTTAGCCAGCTCCCCCTTACTTAGGCTATGTCAAGACTGCAGGCTTCTTCCAGAAGAACCTATTTTTTGGAAGAGATCTTCTGAAAAAACTTCTTTTGAAAGAGAGCATCCCCACACAAAAGCACATCAAAAAAGTGATCTGCTTTTTCGAAAGATAACGTCCACACTGAATGTATGCTATATCACATTTAAACTGTGATTACTATGGATGGAGTGGCTATGAGGGCACCTGTGCTTTTTCCTTTTTTTTCAAAAGAACTCCCTCTTTCCCATCCACACATGCCTTTTTCTGAAAGAACTCTTTCAGAAAAAGGCTTCTTCCTCGTAGAAAGAGGATTACCAACACCAGAAAAACCCCTCTGTTCTTTTGATTACTTTCAGAAGAATGCGATTGTAGTGTGGACATAACTCAGGTTTTGTCAGAAAAACGGCTGTTTTTCCAACAAATCTCTGTAGTATAGACATAGTCTCAAGTACCAGGATAAATGGGCAGTGTTGGTGTTTGTATATGATGGGAACAGTAAACAGGGAAGGGTGTCATGTACATGTTGCCAGCATTCAAGACTGAGGTGACTCATAATTTCTCCTAGCAGTTTCAAATAACTAGTAAATCAAATAGGAGGAATGAAATGTGTATATGAAAGTTATGGTGGCAAAAGAGAAATTATCTACATCCATCCTGGGCCATTTCTGACCTACATTTTTTAATCAGATTGAGATGGATTTAGGATATTACCTATGGAATCCCAGCACTGTGGGCTTACTAATATTCCCAGAAAGGGGAAAAAGGGAATGCCATGGAGGCAACTAGTTTTTTTGCAACCCTCTTAAGTGAGACCTGCTTAAGCAGGATCTCCTCTGTTCCTTTCGAATTTTTCACTTGGCCCTGAAAGTTTTTCATAAGCCTGAAGAACAATGCGGTATTATTTGATTGTTAATGAGCCAGAATACTCATTATGGAGCCATTAATGAGTTCATGCGCCAAAGTATCTCTCAGACTATATGACATCTTTCAAATGGCACTATTTTTAAAAGAAAGCATACACATGAAAAACACATACACACAATAGATACATTTCACAAAGCATTTGTTATAAGTATAAAAGAGCTGTGACATTACATATGTGAGAAAAATGTACACTATGTTCAATACTTATACAAAGAATAGTCACTGTTAGGAAGGAGAGAAGCTGAGTCTTACCATTTGAATAGAAAATGTCTTAAACAGTCTAAACACAACATAAAGAAAAAGTAATTTTACTTATTGTATCAGTACTTTTGACAATAAAATTAGCTCAATTATGATGTGTTTGTGCAGATCTACACCAGCATTTCTGCTGAAGCACATATAAATAAAGATCTTGAATATCAGAAATACATGAAAATTTTCAAGTAGGTTTCAGTCTTTTATAACCTAATATTTGTAATAGAGTCCGTAGTAGAAGAGAGAATAGGAGTTTGCATGATTTTTCTTTTAATGTTGTGTATTTTATTTATGTGAATATCTCCCAGGCAAAATAATAAAGAACATTTCAGTAGTCAGAATTCTTAGAATCAAATGTTACTTTTAACATAGCACAAGACATTACAAATTTCATAATGCATAATGTTATTTTTATAATGTATTACTGGTCCGCAATGAGAAACAATCTAATATATAGATTTTGCATTCAATCTCTTTGTCAAAAACTACATCGCACATCAAAAGTTAATAGCACTAGGGAATTCAGTGATTAATACAAAAACAAATGGTATCTTATAAATTTTCTTTTGTTTTTCCACTCTCAATGATGCAAGATGCTAGAATTTAACCTTTAAGGGTTAAAGAGTTTAATCAATGTCAATGTCTGATCTTCTGAAGGCGATAAAGAACAGTCTGTCTAGCGATACCCAACAGAACATCACTTTGTCAAGCCACAAAGCACCCAAAAGCTTGTCAAGTAAGTTACCAGAAACCTCTTTGTGGTTAGAACTCAGCTCCTTCCTGCTTGACCTATTATTTGATATTTGACCACTTGGTTGCAAGACACTTGCTCTTTCCAGCTGAAATGTCACTGGGGCATCTTGTCAGCTCCCCGACATCTCGGCCTGACATACAATTTTACTTTTGTGTGCTACAAGGCAGAAAATGCAGGGCAATGGCTTTGCTTTAAATTCTGTCAGCATCAAAGATGGGCGTCACTCTTGGGTCCTACCAACAACAACAAAAAAGGAGTCTATTTTGAAGGTCAAAACTGCCATTACTTTAAAGTATTTCTGCTTAAACTAAATATATTACCTGTAACAGTGGTTTGGGAACTGTCCTTATAAAGTACATAAACATGTCATCAGAAATCCTGCCTGCACAATTGTTCTACTTTCTCATCAAATGCAGACTTGATAAAAGGATGAGTTTTCAACGCCTGCAGGGACCAGATTCAGCAGTTAACTTAACTTGTTCAAATGGGCAAGTGGTATCATGTAGGAGCAACCTGACCTTCTCACATTGACCAGGAGTGACATTATTGTGCAGGAGGAGCAGCAGTCACATCATTTCTGTTTTGCACAACCTGCTTAAAGTTTGCAACTAAATGCTTGTCTTCAGTTGAGCTGACAAGAGAGAAGAGGGGGCTCAGTGAACCATGGCAGGGCTGCCATGAAATGACAGGAATCATTGGCATACATTTCAAATAGCTCTCTCAATCCTATTAAAGTATTGCAGTCCTGATTTAAAATAGACAAGTATGAAACAACTTTGATAGATAGAGACTAAAATGGCTTATTGATTTTTTTTAAGTCTGAAGAAAATTACCCAAAATGTGTCATTCTTTAACATTTAAAAATATATTACATAAAAATGAACAACAGTGATAAATAAAACTAAAACTAAAAAACAAAACCAACAAAAAAAAGAAAACAAAAAACCCTGGACTGCTTTGTTTCATTAGAAGTGAGAAGTATGGGAACATGGACATATGATCAGACACTCACCAAACAAATGTAAAAATTAGTGCCCAAAATACACATGCTAAAGCACAGTTCAAAGCTAAGATAGCTCAATATCATTTTAATTGCATCATTTAAAATGTATACAGTTTTTCCTCATAAAATTAATACAAAAAAATCTTAAAACCCATTTTGAATTGTTCTTTTGGTGCTGGCTGAGATGTTGAGGGCAGAAGAATAGGATGAAGACCGAGAATGGGGTCTATTGTGTATAAAACTGTAAGATGTATCTGACTCAGCTTGCAATGGCAAAAAATCTGGGATACAGGTCTGGTCAGGCTGAAGTGCTGATCTTGAAGCCATTGGGATGTTTGAACTGTCTCGTGATTCCTGGAATAAAGTTTAAAACAAAAGCCATACATACTTACTGTAAATCAATCAAAATCAATAAAAACAGCAGAAATAAATTCAATTTCTCCTTCACACATTTATGTGCAAATTCTTTAGTTTTATTAATGTATAAAAAGCATATTACTTGGTAATCAATAGAAAAGAGCTTCATATAAAGCACTTTACATTAGTACTGGCCATTAGGAAACATCAACTTCTATAGTCTAAAGAATTCTGCATATATTCAGAACATATTTACCATTTGTAATGCTGGAAATCTTACCTTAGAAATGACATTAAGAGGGTTTTTTTCTTGATAAATACCTTAACTTACATTCTCGCTGTCACTGAGAATACTCATTTTTGCTCATATTTGCTTTTTCTTTTATTAACTGTATTTTACTGTAACTTTTGGTTAATATTTGTTGGACCATAAAATCCTTATTGTACATACTCCCAAAGAAGCTTACTTGAAAATGTGATTCACATTTTTACAAATATGAGCATTTAGTCAATTAGTTAGAATGGTAAGTACCAGTTAATATTTAACACTGAGAAAATTTCAGGGTCAAATAATAGTGGATCATATCTTGACAGCTCATGAAATATGGCTATAAGATAACGTGACCATTAGAACTCATTCACATCTATATAAACTGTCATGTACAACAGTATCATTCCAAATACTCCCGAAAGCAACTTGCTGATTTCTCTCTTCCCACTTTTGCATGTTGAAGATTCCATGTATGAGACACCTAAAGCACACCAAATTTAGCCACTATGCTGTCCAATGTTCACTGGTTAAAATAGCCCAGTAAAGGTCAAAAGTACAATATGTTATTGAGTTTTATTTTTTTCTTTTAGAAAAGGTGTTTGTGTTCTCCTAAATTTCCACGATTAGCATTTTGAAAAAAATGCCAGAGTTCTAATGGTTAATGTTACTGTACTTTCATGATCCATAAGCTTTCAAAATATGATGCACAGTTTTGGAGCTGAGATTTTTATATAAAAATAAAAGGGGTGGGGGGGTTCCTCTCCCCTTTCCACTCCCCCGATGCTTCTGCTGAGGAAAAATCAATAGCTGTATCTCACACCTAGATCAGCAATTTTCTTTGATGTTGATTCTTTTGATTTCTTGATACTCCACCAGCTGTATTGTAGCTGACTGAAATCAGCAAGCTTTACGCTGGACTTTCAAGGAGAACCAATATGGCAGCAAGTACAGATCTCCTTCAAATGCAAGGAGATATTTAAAAATGAAGCAGTAGCTTATGTTTTACTAAACTATTGTGGTTATGAAAGGGAGTTAACCAAAAGCACTTGCAAATATTGATCTGCGCCACCCCTAGCATTTCAGTTCCATTTTGCTCAGGTTATGTAGGACTGAGGCCAGAATAAAACTTTATTTTATATGTAACTAACAATCTGATGCCTTTATGGAACTCTAATTTCAATCTATTGTATCAATTAGCAGTTTTATATTTATTAATTTATTTTAATTAGCTTAAAAATATCAATATAGAAAATAAAATTGACACAGTCCAAATGCAGAATTCTTCAAGCTCTTTGTAGAGATTCTGTTATTTGTTTTCATAAGTTTTGCCAACTTAAAGAATAAGAATAAACTGTATAATTCTGAAAAGGCTGTTTTCTGTGTTTAAGGAAATCAAGTCACTAAAATATAAATTGTAAACAGATTGCCAAATAGGTGACAAATATTGAAGAAGAGTCTATTTAACATATATACCAGTTTGCACGTTTTCCATGTCTCAATTAATGAAACTATCATATTGATTAAAAATCACTTACCACAATCACACTCTCTCACAGTGATTTTCCCCAGACATTTTTTTAAGATCAAAATCCCAAGTAAGGAGTTGGGAAATCTGGTTTCCTTTGAGAGTTCCACAAAAATGTATGAAACTTAATGACTGGCAGCAAGTCAATAGACTATCTTACAGTAAATGTTTCAGGGTTGGGGTGTGTGTGTGTCTGTTTTAGTTATCAAGATCCTATGCTGCACTTCACACAAATCTAGTGCAGAATAATAGTCACAGAATAGGGTGGAAATACAATTTTACAGTAACTTGCCTGGTGTAAAAAAAAATCTTCACTGCTGTTGAACCGGTTTGAACCTATATTAAATTGCAACAAATAGGAAACTAATATTCCACAGAACTGTAAAAAAATTAAAGTGGCATAAATTAGAACTATTTTGAAATGCCACTGTGTGCAAATGCATGAAATTTAAAGCTAGTTATTATTTCTCCAACAAGCCTCCTTTGAAACCATTGCAGTCCATATGTATTTACATACTTAAGTTACTAAAATGACATACTGAAATGGCTGGGCAGGAGATGTGATGATCATCTATCATGTAAATGTGTGTGTTGGTGATTTTTTGAAAGGGAATCAGTTACCTGAAATAAGGGGTCTATTTAAGTAAATCTTTACCATGACACTTTTATTTACCCAGACAGCTGTAAACAATTCCATCCAAAATATTACACTCCTTCAGATAAATATATTTATGCTTAAAATATTAATTCAAAATGTTTTAGACACATAGTAATTAGGTATGCTCATAAGTCATTTTTCAAAGACCAAATTTTTAAAATATGCTCTTTATTAAACAAAACAGAAAACCATTAGTCCATATTATGAAATAATTGCATTGTAAACTGTACTTAAATCAAAGTCATATTTTAGTCAGATGAAAGCAAAAAGAGGCTTGTAAAACAATGACACTAAACTTATTTTCTTTTATAACTCCTTAGAGATTAAGCTTTGATCCTATGTTAGGGGTTGCCTCATGAAAACGTAGTTGATTTTCCCAAAATGTAAAATATTTTTACAAAACTGATTATTACTACATAGGACTTTGTGTGGAAACATTATAATACAGTCATCTGTGACATCCTTATATATGAAATTATTTAGCAATGTCAGCAATTGCAATGGCATCACACTGAGATCAGGTGTTAATATTTAAATACCTGTGGAATAATACACACGTAATTTTGCATTTGGGATTGGTGGAGTATGTGCACATGTTGTGCAGATGGATAACTAACAACCGCCTACTATTATAGTGAAGTACGTTGTACAGTATACTGTTTATCTTCAATGGTAACAATAAAAATCCATAACCAGAGTGAGCTCACAAATCAGTCAGGATAGTTTCAGCCTTTAAAGTCTATGCAAGGATAATTTTGTTGTACTACAATTCCCATCATTATGCGTTGCTTTTAAACCACCTTCCACTTTTTCATTTCTTTCCATTCTTGCAATGTGTTACACCAATAATACTTCTAATATCTGATGTTGCACCATTAGTTTTCACTATCCAAAACTACAGTAGAAATTCTCTCTTTGAAGATGCAATAACCACAATTCAATAAATACAATGAAATAAAAATAGGAAAATTAAAAATATTAAATATCTCATTTACCAGATTCTCTATCATTTAGATCTGCTGAATTTTAAACAACAGGCCTGATTACAAAGGTTCTGAGCATCTTCAGCTGTGATTGAGTTTGATGGGTGATGTGACACCCTTCACCTCTGAAAATAAGGCAAAGTTTTTATTTCATGTTAATACCTTTTCAATAATTCAGCATGCAAATTCCAGCATCAGTCTCTCTGTATATATAAAATAGCTTTTCCTGCCAGGTGACAAAATGACATCATCATGCTTTCTGGCCGCAAAAGCCGGCAAGGAGAGGGGGGTTGGTGAATGTAGCAAGCAGGGGTGCAGCCCCTTAGTAATTATGCAAGGGCATAATACATCATTACATCAGCAGACCACCCAGAAGATAAGTCTTCAAAATATCTGTCTTTAACACTAGAATGACATCAAATGAGAAAAAATAGACAGGAGTCAGAGTTAGGGGTGTCTGCCAGAAAACAGTCAAAGATAATGGGGGAGCACTGGGTAGAAACTTCTTGCGCTGATTCCATCTTCTCTGAGGAAAGGGTGAATACCAGGAGGAAAAGCAGTGTGCTACAGGGTAGAGTCTAGGAGTCATGGGACATAGCCTACATATTTGTGCACAGGTGACTCCTGGCCTGGCAATGGCAATTGGATTTATTCTACTTCCATGTAGCGCAATGATTTAAAGTGGGGGACAGACAGGTCATTCCTGGGTAGACTAAGGAAAATGACAGAAAGTAGCACTATTTCAGCAGCACACTGTGTGGCTTTACTGAAACTGGTCATTTTCTCTTCAAGATTTCCCATTTTTCCTCTCATCGTGTACAATTCCACCAGCAGTAAAAAGAGTACCAGTATAGGGCTGTGGCTTCCACTGGCATTTTAACTACAGTGTTGTCAAGAATATCTCAGAGAAAGTGACATACTGGAGAGGCATGTCAATGGGAATTTTCATAGAAAGAGAGAAGGAAAACAAATCTTATATGGACTGTCCCTATTTGTGAATCCTTTTGGGAACATCGCTGATAGGAGGCAAAATTTGGCCCCTCTAAAAAGTTGCAAGGTTTTAGATGATATAATCTACTTTCAAACACGTGTTTCCACTATGGAGGGGCCTATTTGCTACATGATGAAAACCATTCTACATTTCCAGGATACTACGAGTCTTTTCGCTGTTAGAAATAGCTTGAAGGAGACATTTTCACTTTGGATAAAATAAATAAAACATAAAAATGATGAAAAGTCTAAAATCTGGTGTTTAATATGAGAAAGTGCTGCTACTTGGTGCCACTGTGACTTCATGAGAACTAGCAAACTTTTCCAGAGCAAGAAAGTACACTAGCCAACAATAACTGTTTCTTTCCCATGCCAATGGTGTCATAACTCTGTATGTTGATGCAGCAGGACTCACGGTGGTCTGTAACAAACAGAGTAGTAACATAGTAACATGCTGTATAAATCTTCACCATCAGCATTTCTTTCTGGATCCCACAAACAAGATGTCAGAGGCAACAATTCAGTAGACTGCCAACTAACTACATACCAGAAAGGTACACATCACACTTT